TGTGCTGTATGGTCAACCACAATATCGGGATCTGTAATTTTCTGTTACTTGTACTGACAGGCATTTTATTTGTGTGGATAATTGAAAATTGACTGCAATTGTGAAATCTGACAACCTCAAGACAAACTTGTTGAGAAGCACGCTGTGGAAACAGCGTGAATTGAGATGTTTCACCCGCTGGACAACCCAAGTCCTGTGTGCTCATGGTTAAAGAATGTGCCGTCAGTCACAATACCCCTAACAAAAAAACCCCTGAACAACAACAACAAAGAAAGTTTCTCACTTAGAAACAAACTTACTAAAACAAGACTGACCTTAGCAACAAAGGAGAAGTGAGAAGTGATTTGAGGAAGTAAAATAAAGGTTAGCAAAGCCTGGGATATTTCTGTGGAACCTACTAAAAGGGGAACTCGAAGATAATGCCTTGTATTTGCTAAGATCTAGACCTGAGTTTGCATATTTTGTGATCGCAGAGTGTGTTCTGACTAAAACAGCAAATGTACTTAGCATGAGTGCTTCATGAAGCTGCCCCAAAGCCGGCACATCCTGCTACGGCGCACCTGGTCATCACAGAGCTAATGTCACCTGAGCGCTCACCAGGGCAGGCACTGTGCCGAAACGTCTCACATCAGTTAACTTGTTTCATCCTCACAACAAGCTGTGGTGCACGTACTATTCTTAACTCCGTTTTCAGGAAACCAAAGTTCAGAGAGATCGGCTACTTTCCACGGGTGATGAGTGTTTAACCTCAGGATGGAATCTAGGTCTTCTGACCCCAGACCTGACCTCTTCACTGTTGTCCTGTGTCTTGTCCACACTCCCTGGGACATCCGACATGGAGTCCAGTGCTCGGTCATCTCAGTGTCGGCATCTGTTGACTGCCTGTTTTTGAGTTTGAGATTCATTTATTCAATCGAGGTTCATTTTTTATTGAACCCCTGAAAGAAGAGTATCAGTTTGAAATCTTCCTCCTTCATAGTATGACAAATGATATTTGAATGAAATGAAACCTTAATATTTTTGAATTACGAGAGTCTGGATCTTATTTAAATTTTTCTGTTGTAACTGACTTTCTCTGGCACCATCCTGGCGGGAGAATGGCGGGCACCTCCTGCTGTGGCCAGGTGGAGTCCGCATTCCCTGATCAGCCTCCATTTTCCTCTGACGGGAGCAGGCTCCTCCTCACTGCTGGTGGGTGAAGTTCCCTCTCCCCACATGGTCTCCGCTGGCAACAGAGGTGGGTCGTATAAGTCCTGGCTTCCCCCTAGATGTCCTTGACACTAACAAGCAGCCATGATTAAAAAGAAAAAAAGCTTCAATGAACGATTATAAACACACTTGAAACAAATGTTAAAATAGAACACGTAGGCCGGGCATGGTGGCTCACGCCTGTAATCCTAGCACTCTGGGAGGCCGAGGTGGGAGGATCACTTGAGATCAGGAGTTCGAGACCAGCCTGAGCAAGAGTGAGACCCCATCTCTACTAAAAATAGAAAAATTAGCTGGACATGGTGGCACGTGCCGGTAGTCCCAGCCACTTGGCAGGCTGAGGCAGGAGGATCGCTTGAGCCCAGGAATTTGAGGTTGCTGTGAGAGATGCCATGGCACTCTATCAGGGCAACAGAGTGAGGAAAAAAAAAAAAAAAAGAATGGGATCTAGGCATTTGTAAAGAATCTCTTTGCCAACAAGAAAAGA